GAACAAATAATAATAATAATAATATAATAAACAGGTTTAAAAAGAGCAGGGCATTCTGGCTGTCTCCTGTGTGGGCCACCTATGAGCAAAGGCAAAGAGGATTCATTTCTAGGGTTTGTAGGACTATATTTCCTTTCTTTGGATAGATACACAGGAGAAAGTTTGCAGGGTCATCAGGAAAGGATATGGTTGTGTGTGGTACATATGCAGGTGCACACATCCACGCATGCACATAGAGGCAAGAGGAGGACATGGAGTGTCTTGCTCTATCACACTCCACCTTACTCCATTGAGACAGGAGCCTGGAACTAAGCTGGCCGCCAGCAAGCCCCAGCGGTCCTCCTGTTTCTGCCCCTCTCAGTGCTGGCTGGCATTACAGATGTATGTGCAGCCACACCCAGCTTCTTATGTGGTGGCTGGAGCTGTGAACTCAGGTTCTCATGTTTGTATAGCAAACCTGAGCATCTTCCTAGCCTAGGAAGGTGTATGTTTATAAGACACTGCCACAAGAACTCAAAAACCAAAGAATCAAGAAACCAAATGACACAATTAAAAGATGGGCTAAAGACTTAAACAGAGAGTTCTCAAAGGAAGAAGTAAAGATGACTAAGAAACATCTTTAAAAGGTATTTAATATCAGGGCTGGAGAGATGGCTCAGGAGTTAAGAACACTGGTTGTTCTTGCAGAAGACCTGGGTTTGAATCCCAGCACCCACATGGCAGCTAACAACTATCCATAACTCCAGTTCCAGGGGATCCGACAGCCTCTTCTGTCCTCCACAGGCACTGCATGACACAGGTGCATTTACCTACATGCAGGCAATACAGGCATACACATAAAATAAAAAATAAAAGTGTTCAATATCGTTAGTAATTAGGGAAATGCAAGTTAAAACCACCTTAGGATTCCATCTTACCCTGGTCATACTGGCTAAGATCAAGAGAACAAATGATACCAAATGCTGGCAACGATGTGTGCAAGGGGAATGCTCATTCACTGCTGGTGGGATTGCAAACTCATGCTGCAACCCCTATGGAAATCAGTGTCGGGAACTCTTAAAAAACTAAAAATGACTGGGCGTGGTGGCGCACACCTTTAATCCCAGCGCTTGGGAGGCAGAGGCAGGCGGATCTTTGTGAGTTTGAGGCCAGCCCTGTCTACATAGTGACTTCCAGGACAGCTGGGGCTACAGGGAGACCCTGTCTCAAAAAGACAAAAAAAAAACCCAAAAACCCAAAAACTAAAAATGAACCTACTATATGACCTGGTTATACCACTTCTTGGCATATACGAAGGACTCATCCTATTGCAGAGATACTTGTACAACCATGTTTGTTGCTGCTCTTTTCACAATAGCTAAGAGATGGAAGCAACCTAAGTGTCCCTCAACTGACAAGTGGTTAATGAAAATGTGGTATATTTACACAATGGAGTTCTACTCAGCAGTAAAGAAAGATGAAAATATGAAATTTTCAGGTAAATGGATGGATCTAGAAACTGTTATAGTAAATGAGGTAACACAGACGCAGAAAAACAAAAGATGTATGTTCTCCCTCATTTGTGGATCCTAGCACCAAATCCTTATAAAAAGAGATTATTGCAGAGTTACACCACTGGTCACACACAGAGATTCTCTGTGAATTGCCCAAGCCTAAGTGGCACATCTAGAATGCAACCTCTACCCCTAAGACTCACGGAACATAGAACAAGGGGTGAAGAGAACACTAACACATCTCTCAGTTCTCATCAGTGAAGCTCCCTCATGCAACAGAGGCCCAGGAACACAAAAGGCCACAAATGGCCAAAGCACAGAGAATAAGAGTCTGCATAGCGTAGATCCTTGGACAGGACTCCTATACTGAGGTCCACCCACCCAGGGCTGAGGGACCATTGCAGAAGAGGGGGCAGAAAGATGGTCAGAGCCAGGGAGGAGGTGCATGACCATACGGAAATGGTCCTACAGACGCCTGGGACCTTTCTCATACAAACCTACAGCAATGGTGTCAGCATGCACAAGACCCATGTAAAGTTAGGCAGACAATAACCCGGGACAGAGCTGTGGAAATGAACAGCAAGCCCCAATCTTAGTTGAAGAATTATTGGCAGCTGATTACTGCTGGGTGAGGAAGAGCTGATCTTGAAGGGAGAGACTCTAGATGGGCTGACTAGACCCCAGTGGATGAACTTACACTGAGGGACATCTCAGGACACTAACTTTACATAATGGGCCTTGATATAAATGACAGAATGTCTGAACTCCAGTGGAGGACCACGGGAGGGTGCCAAAGGGGAAGGGGGAAGGCGGTATAAAGATGATGTTATGTATGAAATACACAAAAATTCAATAAAAAAACAAAAAATGACATGTTAATAGGACTTAAATAAAAGTTATCCCATGATCATCCCCCTAAGAAAAGGTGCTGCCAGACGGCCCTTCAAAGGGGCAATACCGTAGGTCAGCATTTGCACCAGTGATGGGCGCCGCCCAGTAGTTCCACATCCTTACCAGCATTTGGTGCTGTCAGTATTTAAGATTTACACAAGTCACTGCAGCAGACACGAAATAGAAAATAGCATTTATGTATCCCAGGCTGACCTTCAGTTTACGATCTTGTCTCCAATGCCCAAAGTACTGCAATTACGGGTGAGTGCCATCATGCCTGCCCAAGTAACATTTAAATATGGCTTGTTATATGATCTTTGCTTTTTTGTTTGTTTTGTTTTTTTCTTGGTCTTTTGAGACAGGGTCTCCCCATATCCCTAGTTGTCCCTGGAACAAACTATGTAGACCAGGCTGGCCTTGAACTCACAGAGATCCGCCTACCTCTGTCTCCCAAGTGCTGGGATTAAAGGTGTGCATTCCATGCCTGGCCCTTATATGATTTTTTAATTATATGAATTTTTAATACTTTTTTTGAGACAAGTTATCATGGAGCCCAGGCTACCCTCAATCTCACTAGGGACCTGAGGCTATGACCTTGAAATCCTGATCCTCCTACCTTCACCTCCTCGTGCCAGGATTACAGATGTGCACCACTATGTCTGGTTTATGCAGTGCTGGGGATGGAACCTAGGGCCTTCTGCATGCTGGGCGAGCACTCTGCCAGCTAAGCCACATCCCCAGCCCTGAAACTTACTGTTGTAGATTGAACTGTATCCTATCATCACCCCCAAAGAAAAGGATGTTGTATCCCTAATTCCCAGAGCTTCAGAGATCACCTTTTTGGAGACTGAGCCAGGACAGAGATAATTCAATAAAAATGAGGTCATGGGGTGGCCTAATCCAGCCAGGCTGTGCCTTTATCAAAATGGAAATCTGGGCCCAGGCTAATGACACAGCGAGGCTGATGACAGCAACACTGATTCAAAAAGACACATAGAAAGGCCAGAAGAGTCTCCTGCAGAGTCCTCTGCAAGAACTAGCCCGCTTGGCACCTTGATTCCTGCCTTCTGACCCCCAGAACCCTGGGAGAAGAGCTTTCTCTTGTTGAAGCTAGCCAGTCTGTTCTGTCAGGGCAGCCTGCTCAGGTCATGCACATGCAGGGCAACACGGGGATTCTAGTTGTAAGTTTTGAATCCTAGGAGTAAGACAGCATCACCCACCTCCCAAGTTTAGACTGAAATATAGTAAATCCTTCTATGGCTGGGTGTAGTGGCATATGCCTTTATTCCTACCACTCGAGAGGCAGAGGCAGGTGGATCTCTATGAGATCGAGGCTAGCCTGGTCTACCTAGCGAGTTCTAGGCGAGCTGGGATTACAGAAGACACCGTCTCAAAACAAACAAACACCCCCAAGCCAAAACCCAAACAACAAAACAAGTCCAAGCTTTGGCCTCTGCCATCCTGTGTCAGCCGCTAGACACTTCTTTGCTGGGTCCTGGGAGTGCTGGCAGGCTGTGGGAAGAAGCATCTGCTTTGAGAAGGCTGCTGAGTGCTCCAATTACAGCCGTGCACCACCATGGCTGTGTGTGTCCCTGTGTGTGCAGGTGCATGTTTGTGTACAGGTGCACCTGTGGTGTGTGGAGATCAGAGGACAGACAACCTTAGGTGTCAGTCCTCGGGTACCTTACAACTTTTATTTGAGACAAAGTCTCTCACTGGCATGCAACTTACTATATATAGCCCAGGCTAGCCAGCCGGTGAGCTCTAGTGATCCCTAGGTCTCTGCCTCCCATCTTGCAATTGTTGAGATTACAGACCCATGCCAGGGAGCCTGGCTCTTTAAAGTGGATTCTGGGAATCTGAACTCAGAACTCACAAGCACTTTATTTATTCACTGAGTCCTCTCCCCAGGCCAGGTTTAGTTTTGAGACAGGGTCTTACTAAGTAGCACAGGTAGCCCCGAACCCCTGAACTTTCCATCCTCCTGCCTCTGCTTCCCAAGTAGCTGGGGTGACAGGCCTGCACCACCACACTTACACCTTACTTGGCTCGACCTGCAGAGTCTCATTTAAGTTCCATAAACTCTTTGTCAGGTAGTGTCGCAATCCTTTCATAGATTTATCCTTTTTATTTTAAACCAGGACGCTGGGGATCCAAACTCAGGTCCCTGTACTTGAGCAGCGAGCTCTTCACCCACTGAGCCATCTCCGCGGCCTCTTTCTAGCCTCAGAGAGGTTAAAAGTCACTTCTGAGGTCACAAAACCAATCCAAAGCCCTAGCTGTGAACATCAGGCCCATGAGAAGAGGCAGAGAGGCTCCGGTAGACAATAGGCGCCGCATAAGAAGGAAGCTTGAATCCCTGCATCGCCCGGGATACAAGCCCAGACTGCAGAACAGATCCCACCCGGCGTCTCGCCCCGCCCGCTGCGGATTGGCTGTCGCTTAGGGGGCGGGGCTCCAAGTGGGTGGTGGGCGGGGCCAATCTCGGGCTGTAAATACCACGCCACATGGCACTGACTGGCGAGAGCGGGGGCGGGGGCGGAGCGCGCAGGCGCGCCAAAGGAGGGCGTGCTCTACCTCTCGAGTTCTCGCGAGAAGATGGTGGAGGCGGGGTTTCGAGGCTGGAGGTGGGGCCTCGCCTCGGGAGGGGCCGCCAGCGTGAAGTGGAGATAGCGGCTGCGGCGGCTGCAGCGGTAGCGGGGCCGGCGGTGTGCGGGAGGTGAGGATCACTGACTCGGGTGGAGCAGGGGCGCGAGGGGCGCGAGGGGCCGAGCCAGGTCGAGGTCCCGTGGGTTGGTGGCCCAGGTCCGTTCGCCACTGGTCCCGGCTTAGGCAGGTCCTATGTGGCCCTGGGTTCGAATCCCGGCTGCGCCGGACTTGCTGTGTGGCCTTGGCCCGGCGCACACCCTCTCTGAGCCTTCTTCTTGTGGGTCCTGCGGGATGCGCGGAAGCGGGTGTGGCCACTGTGCGGATCTCCTTGGCGGGAGAACATCCTGGCCCTACAGAGGACACGTTATCAGTTTTGTCTTGGGCTACTTGGGTGTCTAGGAGAGAAAGCAGTTGCTCGGAGACCGGTGTGCTGCAGTGTCCCAGGAAGACCTTGCAGGAGGCCCTCCGTGGGAGGCCAGGTTTTGCACCTCGCCCCAATCAGCTGAGCATCCTTCTGCCCCTGAACTTGGCTTTCCTGTGGGCTGACTACACACGGTAGTGCAGAACCGGCTCCCAGGTGGGGCGGAGCATCGCTCTTTGCCCTTCTAGCAGCTTCATGCTTGGTGGACGACAGAAAGCAGAGCCTTAGTGGCGTACAAGGGACCCTGTCTCCTCTTTGAGCGATGAAGACCTCGCTGGCCGACCCTGAGGTCTGCACATCGTCCTCACTCTAGCACAGCAGGCTGTGTGTTTGCATCCTTCTTAAATTGTTTTATCATCCCACGCTCCTGGAGTCCCAGGCTGAGAACGTGAACTTTGGGAGGAATGTCACTGCTGCCCCCCTTTGATTTCTGGGGCCCCACTGTGTGGCTCCAGGCTTTTGGGTGACTGGTGAGCAGCCTCACTGCAGGTCCCTCCCCTGACCCCAGGACGCCTTTCTTTGTGCAAGTCAGGGGTTGGTAATGTGAGTTAGAGCCCGGTATCTGGGTGAAAAGGAGAAAGTTGAGAAAATAATTTGGGTCGCTGGGCATGGTGGCACACCCTTTAATCCCAGCACTCAGCAGAGAGGATGTCTATGAGATTAAAGCTAGCCTGGTCTACATAGCGAGTTCCAGGTTAGCTGGGGTTACAGGGAGACCCTGTCTCAAAAAGACCAACCAACAGACAACAAAAATGACTGCCTGGGATCTTCATGCTTAATTTTCTTGCAAATGAGTTGCTAGGATTGGGACTGGGTTCGTAGGTGGTGGGTCAGCATCCCCAGTTCCTTCTGGTACTGTTCATTGAATACACCAAACACCAAGTTAGGTGACTTGCTGGAAATCACCGGGCCCTGGAGATCTCAGTTCCAGTGGTGTAGTGAGCTAGCTGCAATGTGCAAAGAGAAAGCCAGCGGCACTCAAGAAGTAGAGGCCGGAGGATGTCAAGTTCAAGGCTAGCCTGGGCTACATGATACTCTGTCTTAAAGAAGTTATCCAAATAAAAGAAACTTTAAGTGTGAATACAGAGGAAGCAGCTAATAGAGGAGACACTGGACTGCTGTGCACACACATGTAGGTGCATTGGAACCCAAAGCACAACTTCAGGTGTCACCCTCAGTAAACTGTTCACCTCCTGTGAGACAGAGTCTTTCACTGGCCTGGAGCTCACCAGTTAGTGTAGGGTAGCTGGCCACTGAGCCCCAGGGATCCTCCGGTTTCTGCCCCGCTAGCACTGGGATTAAAGGCAGGAGCGATCCAGGCCTGGCATTTTTACTGTGTGGGTTCTGGTGATTCAAACTCAGGTCCTTGTGTTTGCATACCAGCTGGTTTACCGAGTGAGCCATCTCCCCAGCCCAGAATAGAGAGGTTTCTGCTTGTGAGGGGCCTGGATTCTGCACTGGGAATTGGAATTCTGTTTGCAGAGATTTGCAGTTGAGGTTTGGTTGGAGAAAATACCAGGTCTGTTACAGGTAGACTAGAAGTTAAGCCCAGTGGATTCTGGGTCTGGAGAGACACAGGCTGCAGTGGGTAGGCCTGTGGGGCATGGGTGCACGCTGGCTGGGGAGGGGTGAGGAGCCTGAACCAAGTCCCTGAGGGCTGCCCTGGGCAGTGAAGCTCTGTAGGATGTGCTAAGAGCTGGGGAAAAGGCAGAGAAGTAAGAGGCTTTGTAATGGGCAGCCACAGTGACCGTGATCCCGGCCATGCCCAGTGCTGGAGGAGGTGTGGGAGGGCCCATGAGAGGAGGGCTATGTCCTCAGGATTGGAATCTTGGGGGAAACCCACGGGAAGGGTTAGACTAAGTGGAGAAGCAAGTGCTCCGCTGACCATGGGTTTAACAGTTTGTGGTTGCCACCATTAACCCAGGCTGGGGAGTGGGTTGTGTTCTAGGGAAGTCTAGGCCAGGAGGTGCCATGGGTGAGAACAGTCTGTGTACTGGTAATACTGAAATAAGTGCCGATGGGAAACCATAGACAGATAAAGACAGAATTTCTTTAGCCCAGGCTGGCCTCAAACTCACTATGTAGCTGAGGATGATCTTGAACTTCTGATCCTCCTGCCTCCACTTCCTGAGTGCCAGGATTACAGACCTGAGCCACAATGCCTGGTTTATGTGATGCTAGGCTTGGAACCCAGGGCTTCGTGTGTGCCAGGCAAGCAGTCTACCCACTGAGCCACATTCCGCAGCCCTGGGCTATAATTTTAAAGTCACTCCATCTTCAGTCTAGTCTCACAATCTTCAGAAAGTAGATGGAAAGTGGTATGTGCGTGTGTTATCCCAGCACCTGGGAGGTGGAGGCAAGAGAGTCAGAAAGTTCAGGGCCAGTCCTGGTTACAGAAGATCCTGGAAAAGGGTAGAGAGAGGAGGAGGAGCAGCAGGAACAGGAGGAGGACCACGAATCCGAGCATGATAGTGCATGCCTTTAATCCCAGCACTTGAGAGGCAGAGGCAGGTGGATCGCTTTGAGATAGAGGCCAGCCTGGTCTACATAGCAAGTTCCAGGCCAGCTGGGGCTACAGGGAGACCCTGTCTCAAAAAAAAAAAAAAAATCGCCAACCCAGGGGGGCTGCAGATAGCTGGCCCTCTGACTTAACACTTCCTGCTGTTAGCCAAAGAGGTTTCTGAAACTATTTAGAAACTCCAAAGCTATTTCAGAACGGGAAGCAGCAGGCCTGCACTGTCGAGTGGGTGTAGGGCTGCTCTTAGAGGTGGGGAGAGCAGCAGATGAGAGCATCTGGCTTCTGAGCTACACCCACCAACAGCTGGGCTTTCCTCCCAGGCTGGAGCACGAACAGATCTGCAGAACTGGAGTGACACAAGAGAAGACACCTAAACAGTAGCATCCAGTGGTCCCTGGTAAGAAGGCACAACTGGGTTACCCCAAAAGGCTTGTCATTCATTAATAACACATTGCTGTGTGAGGTGGGGGCATGGAGGTGCAACGCTGTCTTCCAGGTACTTGGGAGGCTGAGGCAGGAAGTCAGTTCCGGGCCAGCCTGGGTAGCTCTCACATGTAACCTCAGCACAGGAGGCTGAGGTAGAAGGGAGGTGCCATGAATTCAAGGTCAACCTGGGCTATAGAATAAGATGTAGGTCAGCCTGGGCTATTGTGAGACCCTGCCTCAAGAAGTCAGAGAGAGGGGCTGGAGAGATCAGCAGTTAAGAGCTCACTGTTCTGGCAGAGAGCCCAGGTTCAGTTCCCCAGCACCTGTATGGCGGCTAACAATTGTCCTTAGCTCCAGTTCCAGGGGATCCAACACTCTCTTCTGGCCTCCGTGGACATTGCACAACATGGGCGCATGTATACATGCAGGCAAACCACTAATACACATAAAAATTAATTTTTTAAAAGCAGGGGGGTGAATAGCCCCCCTCTATCTGAACCCCAGAGGATCAGGAGTTTAAGGTCATCCTCAGCTACACATCGAGTTTGAGGCCAGCCTGAGCTAAACGAGACCGTGTCTCAACAAAACTAACAAAGGACTTGGGAGATAGCTCAGTGACTAAAGTGCTTTCTGTGTAAGCATGAGGACCTGAGTTTGGAGCCGAGGCACCCACAGAAAAAGCTGGGCATACCTGTAATGCTGGTGAAGGGTGCATGGGGACTGGAGGATCCCTGGGTCTTACTGGCCTGCCAGACTAGAAAAACAAAATAAAATGCAACAGTAGCAACAACAACAAAATCCCAGCAAGCTCCAGGTCTAGCAAAAGATCCCATCTCAAGAGAACAAATCAATAGTAAAGTAAGAGAAGGAAGAAAACAAAGCAGGAAACCTAGAAAATCCCAGCACTCAGCAGACCAAAGCAGGAAGAGCAACTTGAGTCCAAGGCTAGCCTGGGCTACAGAATAAGAATAAATAAAAAAATACGCTTTTTTTTTTTTTTAATTCTGAAAGAAGAGCCTGGGGAGATGGCTCAGTTGGTAAAGTGCTAGGACCTGAGTTTGGATCCCCAGCACCCCTGTGTGGCAGCCTGTGCCTGTCATCCCAGTGTGGAGGTGGCAGAGACTCGAGGACCCCTGGGCTCATTGGGCAGCCAGCATGACAGAATTGGCAAGCTGCAGGTTCAGTGAGAGACCCTGACAGAAGATAAGGTGGAGAGAGATTGAGGAAGCACCCAGCATCGACCTCTGGCCTCCACGTGCTAATGCACACACATGAACACATACATGTGCACACATGAGCACCAAGAATAAAGGGGGCTGGAGAGACAGTTCAGTGGTTAAGAGCACTGATTGCTCTTACAGAGGACCTGCGTTCAGGATGCGACGCCCTCTTCGGACCTCCATGGGCATTGTATGAATGGGTGTGCTTACATGCATGCAGGCAAACACTCATACACATAAAATAACTAAGTAAATAGAAATAAAAAACCTCATCAGCTTGAATCCCATTCTCAGGAGTGTAGGCTGGACATCTCATATACTCACCAAATTTGTTTCCCGAACTTTAAAGGGAGTGGCTAGCAGGATTGCGTCCCCATATATGGTGTTGAGCTTAGAAAGAGGAAGATGGGTTGGGAGTATAATGTTTTCTCTGGAGATGGGTGAGAAAAACCATTGCCGGTGGAAGGGCCAGGGGACCAGCAGGGCACTGCGGGCACAGAGCTCTTGACCCCAGCTGCTCACAGGACTCCTGGAAGGCCTGGAAGGCCCTTGTAAGGATGGAATTCTCAGCTGCAGCGGAGCTTGACACAGTTGGCAGAGCTGAGACTGGATTAGCAGTAAGTAGAGAAACAAAGCAAAGGAAAGCAAGACTGTTATCAGTTCCCGGAAAAATGAGTGTGCAGGAGGGAAAGAAAAATAACTATGATGCCCTCGTAGGCCCAGCCTTGTAGCCGTGGCAGAGTGTATTAACATCGGCTGCCGTTCTAATTGGAGTCATGACATGTTTGGGAGGGAGGGCAGGGGAGGGGATACACTGCTGTGTCACCTGCTGAGGGGGTCAGTCCCCAAAGCCAAAGACCACCTGACAGCTACTGAGAGCTAGCAGGTGCACACAGATGAACTTGCAGCAGACAGGATGGGAAAGCACGGGAGGGATGCTGTGGTTGCTGAGAAATTTCGTGGGTAAAGGGTGTCAGATAAGTTCAGCTGCCTTGGAATAGGAGCCCCTCCCCCACCCCAACCCCCTGGTCTGTGTTTGCAGGGGCTCGCTAGCTGGCAGGGTTTCCAGCTGCTCACTTTCCCCTCATTCTCATCGCTGTCTGTCTCCTATCTCTGGGCTCTTGTGTTTTTTAGGCAGGGTCTCTCTGTGTAGCCCTAGCTGACCTGGAACTCACTTTGTAGACAAGCTGGTCTCAAAGTCGGAGTTCCACCTGACTCTGCCTCTCAAGTGCTGGGATTAAAGGTGTGCACCACCATGCTTGGCTTAGTTTTTCAAGATTTTTTTTAAAAATATTTTTTATTTATTTTTATGTATATGAGTGTATTGCCTGCAACGTGCGTAAGTGTACCTGTGTCGTGCAGTGTCTGAGGAGGTCAGAAGAAGGTGTCAGATTCCCCTAGAACTGGAGTTAAAGATGACTGTTAGCCACCATGTGGGTGCTGGGAAATGAACCGTGGTCCTCTGTAAGAGCAGTCAGTGCTCTTAACCACTGAGCCATCTCTCCAGCCTGTTTTCAAGATTTTTAATGAGTTAATGTGTGTGTGTGTGTGTGTGTGTGTGTGTGTGTGTGTGTGGTGTGGTGTATACCATGTGCATACAGTTCCTGCAGAAGTCAGAAGAGGGCATCAGATCCCTTGGAGTTACAGGCAGTTGTGGGTACTGGGAATGAACTCAGGTCCTGTGCAAAAGCAACAAAGGGCTGAGCCATCTCTCCAGCCCCATTTTGTTTATTTGTTTGTTTTGAGACCGTGTCTCATGTAGCCCAGGCTGGCCTGCAACTCCCTATATAGCCAAGGCTGACTGTCCTTGAACTGCTGATCCTCCTGTCTCCACCTCCCAAATACAGGGATTATAGGTGTGTGCTACCACCCCAGGCACTTTCAACAAGGGGGAAGGGGGTCTTTTTTGAGACAGGGTCTCACTGTAGTGCCAGCTGGCCTTGAACTCACTATGTAGACTAGACTGGCATTGAACTCACAGAGATCCGTCTGCCTCTGCCTCCCGAGTGCTAGGATTAAAGGCATGTGCCACCACACCCAGCTACTTTTAACTTTTTATAAAGATTTATGTATATATCCAGCAAGGGCTCAGTGGTTAAGAGCACTGGCTGCTCTTAGGGAAGACCTGGGCTCCATTTCCAGCACCCACATGGTGGCTGACAACCATCCCTAATTCCAGTTCCAGGGAGTTTGACACCCTCTGCTTTAGTGGGCATTCCATACCCGTGGTGTACTTTACATATATGCAGGAAAAGACTCATTGACCTAAAATGAAATAAATTAATTAAAAATAAATAAAGCCGGGCGTGGTGGCGCACGCCTTTAATCCCAGCACTTGGGAGGCAGAGGCAGGCAGATCTCTGTGAGTTCAAGGCCAGTCTGGTCTACATAGTTCCAGGACAGCTGGGGATACAGGGAGACCCTGTCTCAAAAAGACAAATAATAAATAAATAAATAAAATGGGGCAACAAGATAGCTCAGTGGGTAAAGATGCCTGCCATGAAGCCCGATGACCTGAGATCAATCTCTGAGACCCACATAGTGTGAAGAAGAGAACCAGCTTTTGAAAGTTGTCCTCTGGCCTCCACATGCACCCCATGACATGCACATGACCATGTATATACATAAGCACACCGTGGCTCAGTGGTTAGGAGCACTTGCTGCTCTTTCGGAGGATCCAAGTTTGGTTCCTAGCACCATGTTGGGCAGCTTACAGCTGTCAGCTCCAACACATCTGATGTCCTCTTTTGGCTTCAGTGGTACTGCACTCATATGCACAAACCCACACAGAGATGCACACGTGTACACATAAATGAAAATAAAGTAGAGCTAAAATATTATCCTACTATGTGTGCGGTATACTTGTCCAGGCATGCACGTAGAGAGACCAGAGTTCAGGCGTCTGTCTGTGTCACTCGCCACCTTATTTTTTGAGACAGGGTCTCCCACTGAACCTGGAGCTTGGTGTTTGAGCTGAGCTGGCTAGCCTCCACCCCCGATGCTGGGTTACAGGCATATGCACAGCCACACCTAGCTTTTTACATGGGTGCTGGGGATTCGAACTCAGGTCCTCAGGCTTGTGCAGCAAGCATTCTCACACATGGAGCCCTCTCCCCAAACCCTGTAAAGTGAGTTTATATATATTTTTGTTTATTTATTTTTGGTCTTTTTGAGACAGGGTCTCCCCATAGCCTTATTTATTATTTTTATTTTATGTATGTGACTGTATTGCCTGCATGTATGTGAGTGCACCCTTGTCACGCAATGCCATGGAGGTTAGAAAAGTGCGTCAGATTCCCCTGGAACTGGAGTTAAGGACTTAGCCACCATGTGGGTACTGGGGATCGAACCCAGGTCCTCTGCAAGAGCAGTCAGTGCTCTTAACTGCTGAGCCATCTCTCCATCCGTGAAAGTGAGTTTCAAACACACGTGCAGTTTATAGAGGACAATAAGGACCCTTCTTCACCTGTCAGCCAGTTTCAGAATTGAGATGTCACATGAGTTGTATTCATTCTTCCTGGCCCCTACTGTATACAGACTCCACCATCCCAACCCTTGAGGACACACTGACAAATCAGGGGAGTTCTCTCTCCCAGAGTTGCTGCTTAGTGCAGGTGGGTGATAGTGGTAAGATCTGAGATGTGACAGGCGCTCTGGAAAGGCGGGAATCTATAGGGTGGGTGGTGACAGAGTTGAGGGCCCAGGGCTGTGAGTGGGCCCAACGTGGGCCCAGGGAGCCACTGAAGAGTAC